TTGGTATCATGGTAAGTACCTGCAAAAAAGGGGTTTAGCTCCCATGGACATTCATGCTGACATGGTTGCTACATTAGGGGAAGTCTTGAAGATGACCCAAATTTTGGCTGTCCTGCAACTGCCACCATCAAGGAAAACACTGTGTTCACAACATGGTGATGGATGACAGATGATTGACTATAAATCAAATAGCCAATACTATTAGCATATCCCATGAATGAGTTGAGAATATTCTGCACAATGAACTTGGGATGACAAAGGCATCTGCTCAGTGGGTTCCACGTCTTCTAACAATTGATGAACCAGACTGATTACATCATGGGAAAAAATGTCATTGTTTAAGACAGATTCTACAGTTATCCTTGAATGTTTCCTTACCCATTCAAGATCAGAAGGTAATGGTCTCACTTTTTTGGAATGCAAAAGACATTGTGCTTATTGACTTCAAAAGGGCCATACCATTAATGGACAGTACTATGCCAACTTGCTGAGGCAGTTATGAAAGGCTATCAAGACCAAACACTCTGGAAAACTTATGAAAGGTGTCTCGTTACACCAGGAAATTGCTCCAGCACACAAGTCCTTGGTTTCAATAACCACTGTGTGTGACTGGCTTTAAACTGGTTGATCACCCTCCCTATTCTCCAGGTTTGACTATCATCTGTTCCCCAACACGAAAAAAAAAAAAAACAATACTTTGTTTAGAAGCAGTATATATATATATATATATATATATATATATATATATATATATATATTATCTGCTGTTGATGACTTGACCAACAGGATGAAGTCTTCTCTGAATAGTCAGATGTCAGTTTACCTGGAAAGAAACAATGCAGTTATTTATAAGAGTTGAAATTAATGCATTTTATATAATAATTTCACAGCTTGAGAATCACTCTTTCCAAGTTAGCTTACCCTTGTAGAGCAAGTGTGTTTTTGGAGCAATGCTGCAGCATTACCATACTTTTGCCTGGTTGCTTTTGTAATTTATGTTGGTGCCATATCCGATTCTAGTTGTGCAGGGTATATCTTTTTACAGAATTTAAGAGAAACTTAGAAACATTTTTCACCTAATTTCCACTTATTTCTTTGAAATTTTAAAATATCTTACAAACACTAAAACTATTTACATTTATATAATTCAAATCAAACCAGTTGAAATTTTATCTGTAAATTCAATATAGAAACTATGTACTGAAACTAAGTTATTTCTTTTGACATTTCTGAAATAGTATGAAGAAACTGCTTTAAAATAAGATATGCAAGTTAAAAAAAATCCAAAATTGTATTTTTAACAAGACACCTTTTATAATTGCCTCAGCAATTGTATTTTTATGGAATTAATCAGCATGCAATATTTCCTTTGGTTACCATTGGTATACACACAAATACTCCAGCTGTTCCATGAAACACTTAAATTTTTTTTTTTTTTTTTTCACAGGTACAAAGATTTGACTTCCAGAGATTCATGTACCTATCCAGGAATATAAACTGCAAATTGCAGTTTTGAGAAACCATTTTACTGGAATAAACTTTTCTTGTATGCTAGTTATTTATAGACTAGACAATATATGAAGCAAGCAACAGCTTGGAAAATTTTTAGGTAGAAATTACAATATTCTATAGTTTGGTGGACATGAAAAACTATACATTTGAACATTTCAATACAAATATATTATGGCATATTTCACAAAGGATATAGAATAACTAAAAGCAGCATTAACATTATAGAGATAACTATCACCACAATTCCAAGTGATATGTGGAACAGAGCTTAAGACGTATCAAATTGTCTCAGCAATTTTCAATTTTCAGCATGTTCATCAAAGATTCATAAATAACTATATCATGAGCATATACTCCACCTTTGATCTGTTTATTTGATCATACACTAGCTAACCCACACTAACTATATATGAATCTGGCATTTTGTTTTTTACCATTCTCCAGTGTTTCTCAACTTGTTTGGCACAATAACTAGAAAAAAATGACTAGATTGTTGTTAAATCCCACCAAAGCCCAATTATGCTCCTTATGATAACTATAATGAAAAAAAAAAGATTGTTTTGCCAATGTGTACCAAAAAATGATCTGCTGTATCAAAACCACTAATTGAACAAGTTCTTTATTGACAAAGCCACTGTGCACAAAAATCCTAATGCTGTTTAAAGAAAAAATGCTAAACTATAGGATTATTAAAATGAATACCATAAATCAGAAGACAGCCATTCAATAGCACAGCATGAGCTGTAATTAATGACCTAATATACAACTAAAAAGGGAATTTAAGCAATCAATCATCAGGTACTAATAATAGTAATATAAGTGCAAGTGGATTCATTCTGGATAGTCTTCAAATATTTACAATTCAACTGAATTTTTAAAGTTTTGTTTTTAGTAGAAAATAAAAATCATATTTCAAATAATCTAAACTCCTTATATTTTTGTCAGTCATTTTAACAAATCAAAGTTTATATTACAAAATTTTTCAAAAGGAAAAGTGGCATTAAAATAGTCATGATCATAAGCATATATTAAATATTGTCAAGAATGAAAGAAACACACAAAAACTGTAAATTTAACTCAAAGAACTATGTTAAAAAAAGTAATAAAAACTGAAAACAGTATTTTAATTTGTGAAGAAAAAGAAATGAGTGCATGTGTGCATATATATCGCAGAATGAGAAAAACCATAATTACAAAACTGACTTTAAAATAAAAGAATTTTAAATCTTATATATATATATAAAAGGAGCTGGGGAATTGTTAACACAAGGTTTAGTGTGTTATTGCTGATTCCATATTCAAAGTTGGTATCTAAGTTTATTGGATACATGCCAACATTTGAGAAGGTGCACATTAAAAACAATCTTGAAATTTTAGTCTGTGAAGTGATTTTATTCTAACAGAAGCACTTGACTTTTTCTGAAGGATACCGGTTATTTGATTTTTGCTTTTCTCATTTTTGAGGGGGGGGATATCTAAGCAAGATTAGAAGCAACACTAGCAAATTTATTCATTTATTTTTAAACTGAATGTCTGTTATGAAGTTTTTAAGCCATTTTCAAAAAAGTATTCAGACTGGACTTTGGTAAAATATTAAACACTGTAGCAAAGTACAAAGCTGAAATTTTATGTGCCAAGAAAAAAAGTTTGTAAATCTGTCAAAAGCTGGATGATTGAAACAAAGGTAATTTCTATCTGAATTTCTGGGATAAGGAGTTATTTACATGTGGACTATTGTCCCCATCTTTGTCATGTTTGGCCACTGTACTATTCAGCCTTCATTACGTGATTATCAATCAACAATCACCTGATAAAGGCCAAAATATTGCAATAACAACCACAATAATGGGGGACAATAGTCAGTGTGTTAATGTAAATAATGAAAATAAAGTAATGAAATATTTGTAAAATGTATGCCACCTATTCATTTAAATCTGTGCTTGCATGATGTTTCATGAGACATTCACGAACAAAATATTGCATTACAGATAAAAAAAGCAGTACATCATTCAATATTGATTTGAGGGATGGGAGGGAATGGTTAAAAAAAAATAAAATAAAAAGCATAGAAAAGTAGCATATTTTAGATACATGCAGATTCAATATACACAATGCACTAAGTGGAGAACAGGACAAATTATTAGGCCAAATTTTATGTCTTCTAACGTTCTATAAACAGTACAAAGCACAAATCAATCCAAATATTTCCACATCTAATTAAGATTAAAGTGTGTGTGCGTGTACATTTTAGTATATGTACAGTATAATTAAAATCTACATCAGCTTGTTTTACACTCCAAAATTGTATACTTTAATTCAGAAAATTCAGATACAAGACAGTGACATTTGAGTTGATAAGTACATTTTAAATTATATTTGTAGTGCAAATTCAAATTCATTTGCACTATTTTAAGAGGATCTTATTTTCATTTATTTTTTTAATTATAAATGGATGTTGAAAAATTCAGTTTGACCTACTTCCCAAAACCAGTATTCCAATGACCAAACAGAAAATTGATTTTGGGAAGTGAAACAGTCCAAGAATTTCCCAGCAACCACCACCATGCACACCTAGAAATATATTTTTATTCATTATACATCAAGGAACTAAATCTAAGAAAATGAGGTTAATATCAAGAAGTAAAATTGGCTGAAAGCATTAAGAAAAGGATATAAAAAGTGAGAATTGACTTAAGCAACTTTATAAAAGTATAAAATTAAACTTATTTTCAAATTCATTTTAAGAAGTATTAGAGATTTTGATGATAACCATTTGATAACATTATCTGATTATAATAAACAACTTCCTGTGTATTACCAGTTAATAACATTTTCAAGTCTTATTTTGAGAGGGAACATTTAACATACTTTAACTGGAGAAATGAAGCAATACATCTCAATTGCATAAGTTTTCATTGGGTGAAATCTGTAATCTCAATTTATAACAGAAAAACTAACACTAAATTTACTGTTTCCATTTACAGACTAAACAGCAATCAAGTCCTAAAAACAAATGAAGCAACTATTTCTTTAAATAATTTGAAATTAAATTTAATTTTTATAAAACAAGATAAAATTAGATTTAAATTATTTTAATGCAATTCCATTTCATGTGCTTTATAAAATCTTTGTAACTCATTAAATGTTGTCAAGTTGTCTTGATTCAATAAAGAAAATCAGAAAATTCTATTCATGGTTGGTAAGTCATTTTAGAAGGAAAAATCTGAGTGGTTATTTTAACTGGATTTTTAAAATTCAGTCAGGTTTTGATTTTAAACATGTTGATTTTTATAAACATACTTTACAATATCTACAAACCTTTTTTTATGAAAGGGAAATAAAAAGTGGCATGAAAAAACAAGTTGAAATAAATACACTTATGTGTGCTGTTGGTCTAAACTTAATTTGAGGAGGTGGGTATCTAATTTAGTAATAACAGAATTGCCATACATATACAAACTGAATATTTATACTACCCATTGACTTACCTGGGCTGATATTCCTATCAACAGAAGCCATTGTTGTTTCTCGTCAGTCCGGTAATTGATCACTTGACAGCCAGCCAAACTTAAGTGGCGGTCAAACATCTTTTGGGGTTGGGAGTCACCTAAAGTAAAACAACCCAAGTTTAATTTTATAACAACTATAAATGTAAACGTTAGTTATTCAAGTCAAATGTTGTGCATCATTCAAATTAAAAATCAAGCATTGCTAAAACATTTCCATATTTACCCACAACACCACAAAATGGGGTTATATTTATGACAGAAAAATCTCATGTTCCAACTATCATTTATATACTAATAATTTATTTGAAGATAAAATTTTATCTTCAAATAAATTATCATTTTGTTAGGGTGGGGGATTATATTATATATATATATATATATGAAGCTTGTTTTTAATTTGATTTTACTTTTTAATCCGTTCCTATTATTAAATGGATTTAACAATTATTGTTATGGAGAACAAAATGCTTTAATATAATTGTAGATGGCTATATTAGAATTGCTTATTGATAAAGGAATCAATGGACTCGCTGGAAATATTTTATAGAATCCATGTAAATGTTTTTGAAATGAAAAAAAAAAAAAAAACATTTATATAATTAAGTATTGACAAACTGGCTAAAAATATAACCTCAACTAAAAAAATATACTAACCTCAAACTTTACATTAGTAAAGTTTTAATTCATTTGTAAAAAAGAAAAAAAATTATGTAAGGATTACACAAATCAAAAAAAATAAAATGGTTCACATGTGAGAATACATGGAGCAGGGGGTATGCATGCCAAATATCAACATGCAATTAAGTAAAAGGTTTCTTGTAAGTGGCCTCATCATGTATGCATCCACAATACTTTCATCTCAGTATAAAGAGAAAATAGAGAAATAATAGAACACTTTAAATATTGCATGAGCTATTTTATTACGGGTATGATTTTTTTTTATATCTATGTCAATGATTGGATTAAGGATTATTACTTGCATGTTATTTAGGAGATAGTACAAGTAAATCCTAACAGATATTTTCTAGGATTCAGTATTTTGATAATCTGCTAAATAGAATTTAATGTTAATGCCTAATAATTATGAATATATTGAAAAAGTGAAACTTTTTTTCCCCAAAAAAATTATGTTTCAATTGAGTCCTTTATCAATAAGCAATTCTAATATCGCCATCTACAATTTTATTAAAGCATTTTGTTCATCATAACAATAATTGTTAAATCCATTTAATAATAGGAATGGATTAAAAAGTAAAATCAAATTCAAAACAAGCTGACTATTTTATATATATTTATATATATATATATATATATATATATATATATATATATATATATATATATATATATATATATATCCCAACCTTACACATAACAAAATGAAGTTTGTTGATAAGCAGAATATTTATATACTTTAAAAACACTGAACATGAACATTTTTCTTACAAGTTTTGATATTTAGAATTGTCATCCACAGAACTTAAATATATATAAGAGAAACTCCAGAAGTAATTTTTGATTTGGTTACTGAATCTATGTGATCTTTAAATTATCTTAATATTTATTTAATATTGTACACCTCAAAATTAAGATGGGCCTGCTCCACTCTCAAACCCTACAATCAGCTCAAAACAACTTGCAGTATAACTGGACCATGTCACATTGCCAGTTCTCTAGGAACCATCACAAGTCCAGGTAAAGTGCAGTATCCAATCATGACATTAACAGGAACACTACAATCCACCTTCTGCTCCCATATATCATAGAAGCTAAAGAATGATGAACTGATCTGCTGGATACATATCTGGTACCTCATGCATTAAATGTAGACATGATTTGAACCGTGTCTCTTGTCTGTTACCACAGACAATTCTAACCAGACACTTTTGAAAATGATCATGAAGGACCTATGGCTGGCCACTGTTCTGTCCATGATGAGCAGCAAAGCATATTCCTGGTATGCATACATGGAAATGTAAAGAGATTTCAGAAATAGAATGTCCAATCAATCTGGTACCCACTATCTTGTCCCATTCAAACTGATAATTCACAACATTCTATCATGAATGAGCAGCCTAGCCAATATTCACACTAACTCATCATATGTCAGAGTACAACTGATATAGGTCTAGGTATTTCCATGATGTCAAGGTATGGAGGTGCCACTTATTACATACTGTTAACCCATAACATTGGTATATTTTTCTGTTTCTCCCCAAATTAATGCAAGTACTGATAATTTTGAAGAGCACAGCGGTTGTGTAACACCAAAGAAATTAACATACATTTGACACTAAGCTGGACAATTATTTTTTTTATCTTTCCTTTTAAGTAGTTTATATGAAAATAGCATTAACTAAAAGAAACGAGTCAAAATGAAAGTAATCATTAACAATTTTAAAACAATTCCAAAGTGTCTTGATTATATATTAATCATAATATAAGCAATGAAAAATGTTTTATGTTTAGGAGAGGGAAAAAAAATTTGCCAAAACATTTTTATCTCAACACGCCCATCAGGTGATACATTTTTAATGCTTAATTGTAGTGATTTTAAACTGTCAACATGTTAAACATAGGATGCAACTCCAATTACAATTTTAATAACTAAATTCAAAATTTAGTCACTACAAATTATAACAAAAAAGATAACTTTCAATAAATCTAGTAAATTTCCCAAATCTTATTTAGAAACTAAAATATAACTGTCATTGCTAAAACAGTAATTAAACTAGCATAGATGAAAATATTTGTCCAAACAATTTATAGAAGTATTTCAAAATTTAAAAAGATTTTTAAGTTCTTTTATACATTTTAATGTCCTAAGTATTTAAGTTATCAATATCAAAATCATGAAATTTATTTTTGTCAACTTAAAAATGCTACTTAAATGATTTTAGCAATTTTATAACCAAAGAGTCAAATATTAATGAAATATGAAAGATTTAAAATTTTTCAAGAAAAGCATAAAATTTCACCATAAGAATCATATGCAAATACATTTCTATACAAAAAATTACTTTTAAGTTTGTAAAAGATTTCAATGAAAAACAAACCAAAGTAGGGATTAAAATATTTACTATAGCATTCAACTTAAAGATCACAAGATGAAAGTAAGCAGCTACGATTTAAATTAAGATAATTTATCTGTAACACTGTTCAGACACTTGAATCTTTTTTGTTTAGTTGTTAACCGATTTAAGCAACTCCATTTTTCAGCCTTTGCCAGGGGTAATTAGAGAAAATAAAGGAAGTCTTTTTTAAAGAAGACTGACTAAAAAAATAAAATGCATTTATAATATCTTGCATATAAAGAGAAAACTAGGCATCTGGGATAAAGTCCAGATAAATGACAAGGAGCATTGTTGATGAGTGAAAAAGCTGAAGAATGTGGCCATATATTGGTCTGTAGACCAGGTTCAGAATCAAGCTAGCATTCATTTAAAAACTATATAGTTTTCTTTGCTTAGGAAAGGTGGTGTTGGGGAACTACCGCTTGGTTTAATTAGGAAAAACCTAGGTACTTGGATGTAATTTAAACTAGGAATAGATTAGTTCAATGGGTACATTAATGAAGTTTTCATTGCCAATTTGGATATATCTGGAAAAATAAAAAAGCTTCCTTTGTGTTGAACAGAAGTGATTAATAGAAACAACTATACAAAGATTCAAGTATCCCAACACTGTTAGGTAAGGCAAAAATTAAAAATATTTTAGAATGGATAGGGGAAAAAAATATTTACAAGCATAGAATATCCTGATCTAGGTTAAGAAATCAGTATGTTATATTTATGTAGGTTTTGATAAGGATTATTAAACCAAATATTTTTCCTTAAAGTTCTAAATTACCTGGAAGAATTGAAGATTCTGTGTATAAAATTTATAAATTATTTTCTCAGTGTTAACATACAACCAGTAAATATTTCATGCAGTGTTCAAGTTAAAATTAATCAATGAAAGTGTTGAAAATTTTAAAATTATAATGTACATATCTAAAACTATATTGTAATTAAAAAGGTACACAGCCCAGTGCAATTCTAAATTCCCTCTATAATTTGCTCACTTGAATCTGCCCACATCAAAAGATGTAACAAATATGTCTACATCAGAAGTCTTGAAACCACTTACTCTACCAAACTACTAACTTTTCTTTCAAATAGTTTTTGTTTTATTATAGAGAAATCTAATATTTAATATCTATTATTTGCTTTAATTGTTATTCATGTGCCTAATATTAATTTGATATTGACAGTGCACTACAATTGTGGCCTTGTGCCAGATTCCAAATGAATAAACACTTGGAATTTTTTTTTTTAATTGCAAGATTTTGATACCATGCAGATGTAACAGGTCTTGTCCTCCACCTGGTTATATATTTGGCACTAGATGCATTGCTCAGTCACTCAAAGCATTGTTATAGTCCAACATAGATGAAGGATCAATGATTGTTAGCAAAGGTAACCATCTGGATTAGCAGAGGGAGTCAACTTGCTGTCATGCACCCCATCTTCAGGTCTTGTCACTTACCACAAGTCTTACTCTTTCATAGTAGTTTGTACACATGCTATGTTAATGACTTACTTGCTCCTTTTCTGTCAACACAGCACAACCTTTTTTCTTTAAGTTTTCTTTAACTTGACTCAAATATAGTTCTAATCTGATTTTTATTTATTTATTACAAGTTACAAGTTTTTCAATTCTACAAGGAAGAAATGTGGCTTCAATCTTTCAGTGGAGGGAAAACCAATGCAATCAGTCTTTGGGTTCAAGTACCCAGTGAATGAAAAGTTGAATTGCAAACCAACTGGCAAACACTAAGACCCCTAGTTCTTTTCACCAACTGAGTTCTGAAAAGTCATTATACGACTGATTAGAATCAGATCAAGCCTTTATATAGGATATTTCTTAATGGACTCATTAATTGACTTAATTGCTAGGACTTGTACACAAAAGAGCCACTGAATATTAAAGATAATTATAAACAATGAGCTGACAATTCAGTGTAATATCCTTTATTCAGTATAACTCTCCTTTGACAGAATCAACACTTATTTATTGGGGTTTACTTACCCAGATATTGATTAGAAAAATGATTGTTCAACTTATAAGCGTTTATAACTCATCCTACAAGTTAAAGACCAAGGGTTAGACCAATGTTTTTCAACCATTTTTATCATGGCATACTTAAATTATGATCAGTTATAATTTTTATTAACAAACAAAAACCTAAATTTGTAATATCTTCTACACTTACAAAGATAGATGGGGGTTCCATCTGTACAAATACTAATGTAGGAATCCTGAGACAAGTTATTACAATTGAACTAATTATTGATCAAATTAGCTCTTTGTTTGGAGTGGTCAAAATAAAAACTGTTCTAGGACTTTTTTACAATCAAATCTACTGAATGCTAAAAATTGAGGTTTACCACTGATATCAGTAGGTTCATCCAACTGAATTGCAAACATGTTTACTTCTTTGAGGTTAGATTACTTGAAATTCTATATTTTCAGATAAATCCTTAATATGCTGAGAAATTGCATTATCTGAGCAGAATTTTTAAAATTTCCTTTCTGTATTCTTCTCCAAACATTGTTTTTACAGCAGACCAGTAAAATAATTTTTTTTTCCTAGCTACAGTTTCTACAACTGTATAATGCACTTCATGTGCTTTATCAGATAGCACTGTATAATTGGTCTATAATTTTACTTGTTTAGTATTATTGAGTGCAAACCATTTGAAATATTCCAATGGTTTTTCAGCTAAGTGGGATTTTAAATTTCTCTAATTTGCTAGGAATTTCAATGCTAATGTTGCACCATAAATTACTCATGTGGTACACTATAGATTTTCTTCATAACATGAAACTGAATGATAAACTAATTTTCATTATATTGAAAAATTGTTTTTAATTAGTTGCTGATGTATTGGCTGAAGTAGTATTTGATGCACTAGTGTCAACTTTTAAATTTTCTTTTTTAATTTAAAAAAACTTGTTCATTTTAATTGAACACTATGTAATAAAAATAAAAGATACATTCAATATGAGCTACACATCCTCATTACTTCAAGCACAATTCAATACATGCACAATGAGGGATTGCCGAGTCATTCCTGTAATCAACTTTGTATAATTGATATATCTGTTCACTAGTAAGTCCTTGCCAAATCTCACTATCTATGGATACATCCCACCCACTTTATATAGTGTGTTTGCATATATTATAACAATGATATACTCGTATAATCAATTTAAAGGGGATTTTATTTTGAGATGTACATTGTGCATATTTCAAAAATAATTTAATAGCCTTTACAATTTTTCACAGAACACTGGTTTAAAAAAAAAAATCACTGACTAGACCACCTATTTTACTTTGTTTTTTGGCCTAATTCCATTTATTCAAAATACCAGTTATGAAATGATTAATTTCTAACTTTTAAAAAACTTTTTTAATATTGACTTTACCTGTGTATAAACATTTCTACCAGAGGGTGGGTAAATATTTAACCAGCCCCAAATGTAAATGGTTTATTTACTGGCTCATAACTTGAGAGTAAGTGCCACAGAAATCCAACTAATGCCTCTTAACAGAAATCTTAATAACCTTAAGATTCATTTAAAATTGGAAAATCATTTCAAAGTATATCAATATAGAAGTTCACAATACTTATAAAAGATCAACTTGGAGATTTGTAATTTCTCACTCATTAGGACTGATGATTTTATTAATGACAATGTTAATGCAATCATTCTTGATAAGTGAGAAATGACAAAATTCTGATAAATATTGTGAATTTATTTAATTCTAATTCAATAATTATTACTCTATATTACTATCAAACTATTTAGTAATAGAAATCTTCAATTATATAATTTTACTTATATCAATAGGTTGTATTACTATTATTTTGTTCTTTTAAATATGTATATATAGTAGCAACTTCATATTCATGATCTTGCTGCAAATAGTTGTCATATTATACATTGAGAAAAATATTAAGATTCATACTGAAAAAAAAAAAAAAAAAAAAAAAATGCTATAATTACAAAATCAAACACCATGAATATATGAAGTTAAGCAGAAAAATATTTACTAACAATAATACTTTAAATACTTATTCCCAGCATATTACATAATTTAAGAAATTTCCCACAGAGTTTGTTTTACCAAAAAGAGGGAAAAGCACATAAAAACCATACCCTCAAATTTGAAAAACATAAAACAAACCTGTGTGATCATCAGGTCCTGTAAGTAAGAAAATGTTACATTAATTATCTTAATATATTTAAAAAAAAAAAAAACAAAAAAAAACAGCTACTTTTTAATTTAATTTTTAAAATGAGAGAAATTGAATAAAAATGTAGCAGTGAAGTATTATAGAATTTATTAAGTATAATCAGTAAAGCATAACATTTAACAAAGTTTATTATTGAAGTATTATATTTCCAGAAGTTAATGAACTGGATCCACTTTATTCTGGAATGATACTTAAAACAAAATGGAAGGAACCAAAAAAGGTACCATGAAAAAACTCTTAATAACACAAAAGATGTTCACAATACACAGCTAATTACAAAAATTAAATACAATATCTTGTTTGAACAAGCAAAATAAATCCTTAATATAAAACTAATTCTAGTCTGAATCCATCATTTTTGGGGTGGTGGACATTAATGGTTATAGGCAGAAACTATATTTTACTTTTTAAAAAAAAAAACTATAATACCAGATTTATTTTTTTATTTTTTACAATTTATACCTTTTTTTTTTTTTAAAATTACTACCTACTTTTACAAGGGTATTAAAATGAGGAATTATACAGATTTACTCAGACTGGTGTTCTCATCTTTGGCTTTTATATTCACATGTCAGTCAGAATGAAAAGAAACTACCTATGAATTAAATAAAATGTTCAGGTTACCAACAGATGAAGGTTGGAAAAAAAAAAAAAAAAAAAAAAGACTAACAATCAAGATGTGGACACTATTCTAAGTAATCAGTAACCATCTTAAATACACATTTATTTATCAATAAAATTTTATTTTCAAAAATTTGCATGCAAAAATTTTGATTTTGACAATGTGAGAAAGAAAAAGATTATGCAAGTTTAATACTACTGGGACTATACCCTATAAGAAATTTTCAGCAAAATATCAATTTTCATAATACCACCATTGTTTTCAGTTTATTTTTATTTATGGTATTCATTTTTAAATATTCCAAATACTATTACATTGTCAGATAGTAATATTTTTGCAAATTACAACCAAATCATTTAAGGATGTTTTTCCGATAGTGTTTTTTAAATTTTTGTTGCAAAGTCATGCTTGATATTACAATATTAGTTTATGATTATAGAAGTTTCCTCACTATATGGACAAACTATGGGTGGGAAGACCATTCAATGCTTGCTGAAGTAATGATTCAATAAATTCTAAGTTAATTGAATAACCAATCCAAGCCAATAGAAAAGTTCCTGAATAAATTATGATAAAATTACATTAAAAGTGTTTATTTCTATTGAATAATAACAGCTAAACTTCAAAAAGAATATTGGCAGCATCTGTGACCTTAAAACCTATTTAAGCTACTAGTTCAGCTAAGTTCCAATAATATCCTTTCCTACCCAGTGCTTACTATGTAACAGTAAGTCATTTTTTGTACTCTATTGCACTTATTTTTTTTATTTGTAAGATTAATAAAAATAAAAATTTGTACATTTTTTTTAAATGTTCAATGATTAACTTAAAATATTCATACTGATACCATTTTGCTACTTTAATGAAGTATAGTTTTAAAGTATTTTTCACCTTGTGTCTAAGCATATCTTTGATGAACATTTTTTTCAACAATCTCCTTAACCTAATGCTTCTCTATTAACCATATAGATCAAACATGTGAAAAATTTGGATCAAAAGGTTCAGAAATGTAGTTTTACATCGTAAAACCTACCCAGGTGTGAACTGCAAGTGCAATCACCTTCCAGTTCTCAGAATAATATGAAAATTAAAAGACGACTTCAAAAAAATGCCTAAACTAGAATACCTAAATGACTCAAATTGCAAAGAATGTCAAAAGTAACTATAACTGGAATAAGACTGGAAATTCAGAGTGGAACAAATTGGGAGAAATATTAGTGACATTGGCAAATGATATCCCAAGGAAAATGAGAAGAGAGAGAAAAAAAAATCAAAAAACAAAAAAAAAGCAGTGGACAAAGAGATGACTCAATAAAAAAAATGCACAGAGATACAATGGCAGTAACCTTAAAAACTATCCAACAAAGCTACTAGTTCAGCTAAGTTCCAATAATATCCTTATTGCTTATGGATAAGCAAGTATGTCCAAAATAAAAGAATTAACAGGACAAACTAAAAGATCAACAGGTTGTACAAAATTGAAAAGAACACTCAGAAAAAGAAATACTCCAAAAATGGAAGGAATATGTTAGAGAATTATATCACAAGACAGAAAAAATTATTGAAGGACCTGAAATATTAAACTCTGAAAGATCAGTACTGGACAAGACAAACACCAACAAAGTATCAGGACCAGATGAGACTAATAGAAATGCTCACAGTTTTAGATGATTTAAACATTGACAAGATTATGGAAATAGTAAATCTAATATATGACAGTGGCAGAATATTGAAGACCTCAGTAAATTCATCTTTGTAATGCTGTCTAAGAAGCCAGGTGCAAGCTACATTGGACAAAAACAGTGTCATTTTGTTGAATAAGAGAGAATCACAATACACATGCAGAAGAATGCATACTTATGTTTCATAGATTGCACAAAAGCATTTAAGTTATGGCACAAGGATCTGTTTGACCTGCTAGGAAATCTTGATTTATTTGGGAAGGATGTTTGAATAATCCAGAACTTGTACTGGGAGTAAACTGGTTGCATATTAATAAAAATGAACAGAAAGGGGTGTAAGACAAGGATGTGTCCTCTAAAAGAAAAAAAAAGAAAAAGAAAAAAGAAAAAAAGCAAGGACAAATCAGCAATTGTATGACAGTATATGGTTGTCAGAGAAAAAAAAAAAAGAAAAATGCTAAAATCAAAGTACAGAAGTTTAAATATTTGTAATGTGCTTTAACATAACAGAAAATGACAAAAATCTGAATTGGTATAGTAAAAGGTGACTTCCAAAATAAAAACATACTAAGGAACAGGAAAATTCTGTCAGAAACAAAGAAAAGAGTGCCAAACTGATGTAGCATCAATCCTCTCATGAGACAGCGAATGCTAGACAATTTCTTTGCAGCTGGAAATTGCGAGACGTGTGTCTACAGAACTATACAATGTACAAGGAAGTTTTAAGGAAAATGGAAGCAAAAAGGGCATACAGACAGTTGAAATTCCTGAGACACACAATGTATATATGGAGGGAGGGAGAGAGAAAGAAAAAAAAAAAAACAAAAAAAAAATTAACAAGCTTGTGAAAATGGATAGAATACAGTGGGTGATAGTAAAAAGACAAACATTAAGGATTATGAAGGATAAAACTTGAAGGGATACAGCACATAGAAAACTATTATGCAATGAACATATTGATCTAATTGATGTATATCAATTTTTTTTTTTATATACAATTTAAAATTACATTTTAATCTTCATCAAGTTTAAATTTTGAATTGAAGAATTTATTTTACTCAGTAGGTGTAATCTTTCATCCAAAGTATTTAAACTGGCAACTTTCTACCAATATATTCTCTTCATGGCACTGCACAGCTCCATTAATGAACCAATATATGCTCACACTATTTCATCTCGTATATAAACTCACAATTTTAAAGGAAACAGTATCTTTTTCCTATGCTAGGCTATGGTGCGAAATAAGTCATAAAATAGTACCTACAACTTGCCCCAGAAAGTCAAAAAATTTAGATGCATTTTTAAACATTGTTACTAATTTTACTCCACTATTATTGTTTTTTTTTTTTATTACAACACTTACCATAGATACATTCCTTGACATAACCCTTATTGCATACATTTGACTGTTGTGGCAATGTTTATTTACAAAATTATAAAAATATGAAAAATATATAGTGATATTTATTATTTACCATTTTACAAAGAAATACATTTGAAAAAAATTTTTTGATTCAGAAATTTAATTTTTTTCATAATTAGGTTTTTATAAAAATGGTAAACTATTTTATTGTAGTTGCTTCACATTTTTATAAGGTATATAAGAAATCTAATAAATAGTGTTTAATATGTATTATAAAAAAAAAAGATGTATCTTTTGATAACTCATTCTACATATCAGGAAGTTATTTTAAATGGACAGTGGCATTAACCATAGAAATGAAAATGATTTAGTAGATCAAATCTAGTCATTTTTCCATCCATTCCTCCACAATTCTCTATACCATGTTTTGCTATCTAATGGTAGATTCATTAAAATTTAAATTAACTGTTAAGATACAAGTAAAACAAATTTTTTTATTACAAACTAATTTTCAGCCAAATGACAGTGTGTAACAGGGTACTGACTATTTAAATGTTTAACTGCATGAAAATACAAGATGGTGATTTGGATGGACTACTAATTAGATAATTATTAAAAAATTTTTTTTAGGAGAATAGGTTGAATAGTTAAGAAAAAAAAATGAAAAGAAATGTAGTAAAAATTATATTTGAAACTAATAAAACAGTTTTTGAACAATTCCAAAGAGAAAAACTCAGAAGTAGGAATGATTCAGTAAACTTGAGCAAAATCAAGGTTCCCCAATCTTATCTACTTCACACTGATAAGACCGGATTAATGTTGTCAAAATTTCTTTGGCCCTGAGAAATTAAGTTTGTTCACATGCTATCTGTCCAAAACATGTAGTATTACAGAAAATAATGATCCAAATTATTTTAAACAAAGAACGGGGCATTAAACTTGGGGCTTGTTTATATTATACAATTTGCCTAAAATGTGTGTTCTTACAAATTATTCTAGACAAAGAATTTTGAATTTCTTTTTAATTATTAAGCTGGGAATTTGTTTATGTTGGTTGCCCAAGAACAGCATTATCTTTACATAAAGATATCTTGAAAAATTCTAAACAAAGAGTTTTTTTTTTTTTAAACAAGGTCTCTAAGATTAAGATGGTCAAGGTGGAGAAATTAGTTATATCAATGTCAAATTTGGGGCAGAGGGGGAGCATGCATTTATATAAATGACAGAACAGCCTAGAGACAGAGAATTAGATCCAACAAGTAAGGTTGCCTTCACTCTTTG